TTGGCTGATTTATTCGAATAAGCATCAATAATGTAAAAATAAACTGTTCAGGCAGAACTTTTCGATCAATTATTCTTGTACAAACCTTAACATATTGCGCCATCACATAATCCAATCCATGAGTGGAGAGAAATAACCGTTTTATTCCATTTGTGTTGGAAATTACTAAACAACATTTGATTGTTTTTTCTCATTATTTTAAATACAAATAATCTTGGTATCTCTCCGGGGAACCTTGTTTTCATAGCTATGCATTTAAAAAAACCAGCTTTCTTTTTAAAAAATCCTTATTTTGCATTATTTCACAGCATCTCATGCTGTTTTGTATAGTTCTTCCATTTTCTTGTTGCATTAGTCAAGTTTTGATTGAAGTCACAACAGAAATGTATGATAAGAGTGAAGGTGTATCATGTCTATGAGGCTATTCTAAACATAATTTTAAAATAGTGACATAATTTAAACTCGATTTTAATTCAAATTAATATCTTTAGTAATGGTCTAATTCATATCTAAAGGAATCAGACTGGTCTAAATTATGTTGAAGGAGTACTACAAGATTTTTCAGAGGATCATATCTCGTAGTCAGGAAAAATCAGATGCAGTTGTCAATAAACCAAACAAAATGTGATACTGTGTTTGAACTTGTTAATAATAATAGTTTATATTTTCTTATAAATCGGTGTTTACAAGAAATGCAAGCGATTTTTACAGGCACGATCAGTTATATGTTATAAATTACAATCGTGAAGTATTATAAATTAATACTTTTCCATTGGTATAAAGGTATATTGCACAACTGTAATCCAGGATGTGTGGTGGGTGAAGGTATTGGGTAATTCACGAGGCAGTTGTAGGATATGGGACCAGTAATGTTTGCAGATCATTTGTCATTGTAAGTGGTCAAATATCTACATTCATTATTCTCATTCAAAAAGTCATATAGAAGCTAAAGTGGTGAGAGAGATAAAAGACGACAAACGACAGCAGCACAGAAGAAAACAAGTGGAGTCCTCAAGGAGTGATTTATAAATTTATATATATGTATATATTCTGTGAAAGCAACTATGATTATTTCGGTACACTAACTAACTAACTAGTCCTGTTATGCTAACTTTTATATTAAGTGTGAACTAATATTAATATCCTGTGTAGAAATGTGTCATGTCCTTCCAATACTATTAACAGTTATAATTGTAGTTTGTTGTAACTTATACGTTTAATGAACTTAAAATATGTATGTAGGGTGAAAAAGAGGGTGTCGGAGTCAGACGCAGGAGTGCATTGTCATCTCTGAGCAGTCTGGTGACTGAGATGAACACTGGAAGTCTGTTTGCGTTACGCACATTAGCTGGCAGTCTATTCCAAATGACTGAAAACTTATTTAAGAAGAAGTTGCACGGACCGCATATAAGTCTGACAATGCTCTATAGCAACTAGGTTGTCATGATTTCTAAGATTGTAAATGATGAGGGTTGAGACATGATGGAGAAGATTTGTAGTTCAGGTGGATTATTTTGATTTGGTTGTGTTCTCTGAGCTGGATAGTTTATTTGCGAAGCTTCCATTGCCCTACTAGGCAACATCTTCAGCGCATACTTCAATTTGAAGTGAGCTTTTAGATTTCTCAACTAGTTGAGAGTGTCAACTGTAAGACAGTCAGAAGTTTTGAATGGATGAGGTGACACAAACATTGAACAACATTGTGTTTACAATACTTTTACTAGGTTCTTCAAGACTTAACTTTTATTTACCTAATCTAAGTTTTTCTAAACTAGGTGCCATGCATCGTGATTGTTAATTATTTGTGAGCTATAATAATCATACGTTTTCATCATGCAGAATCTATCATAAATATCCAGATTAGAGATATAGGAAGGTTTCTGAAATAATTTGTGTACCCAGTAAGATTGCATCGATAAGAAATGATATAAAATAGACCCAAAGTGTTTGGAAACTCTGAACAAGATTTTTCGGGACATTTCGCTCAGTAGGCTTAAACTACTGATTGGTAGTAAGCTAGTAGGATAGGAGAGGTTGGGTGTGAGACTAGAAACTCCAACCCGTTAAAGCTACACCACTGCTACTGAAACTTCAACGCAAGGAATAAAGTAAATGTAAGATGCGCTTGCATCCATTTTTCTTTATCAGTTTATTCATTTTGCAGGCAGCTATTCAGGCTATGAGCACATTATATATCTTTAAAAATATTAAAAATCAATATAAGCTGATTTATGCATTGAATAACTAAAACACCGTTGTGTAATATATTGCAGACAGTTGCATTTTACTATTTTGTCTACATAAATAAACTTGTTGTCACTATGTAGTAATTTTGATATGGTTAACAGATTCAATGAAGATTCATTTTATACTAAGAGTGTTAGTTGATTTTCATTATTATTATTCCCTTGGGTTCCTAGTGGAACATAGGACTTCAAAAACACATCTCCGCTTTCTTCTATTTTCAGCCATCTTCTTCAGCTGGGTCTACGATTGCCCATAATCTCTCACGTCCTCCTCATACGATCTCCTCCATGTCACCCTAGGACGATTCACTCGTGAGCTTCCCATTGGGATTCCACTCCAGCGATGGCCTGACGCGTGATGTCATTTGACGGTTTCCTCAATGTATTCCCGATCCATCTCCATTTTCTTCTGCATATTTGTTGAGCGATCGGCTCTTGGTTGGTTGGTCGAGTGTATCTTATCAAAATTTCGTTGAAAAATAAACATACTATTATGAAACTTTATTCCAGACAGTACATCTGATACCCTATGGAACTCTCAGCTTATAGTGCGACATGATACCTTATTTTCTCTTAGTATTACATATTAAGAGGGAAAACAATTAAGTGGAAATATTTGCATTACTAATAATGTTGATGAAACATTAATGTAAAATTAAAATTATAAATTAATAGAAATGGTGACAACAATATATTAATGATAGGAGGAATAAAAAATATTGTTTATTTACTGTTTCGTAGTAAGAAGCTTCATGTCTAACACTTTTCTCATCATATCATCACATAAAACTCACGTCAAATAAAGTATTGATGAGTTTTTATACTTGGTCGTTCGAACGTTTAATTACTTCTACTGATACCTAACAAAATTCAGGGAGAGAGTTGCATGTAAAAAGAGAGTGTTCAGAGTTCGACAAGATGATATTCTGTGATTTCTCGAATGAGTTCAGGTGCCAGTTCCTGACAGTATTGACGAGTTGGTTTGGTGACACCCAGCTCGCCTTGCTAACAGCTATTAGTTCCATTCGTAGTGTAACTAGATCGTTCTTAAGTAGTCCAGGAAAGATTAAAAGGGCGTAATAAAGAAGAATGGGTTGAAAACAAAATCTAATACACTTCAAAAGTAGAGAGTGACTGGTACCAGATTGTACTGACTTCTGGACTAAGACGGTTAGAAGTATCTTTCTAGGCATGAAAATGGTACAGGAAGACTTGGAAATATCAGATCATTCTATTAAATGCTGAAAAGCAGTACTTACCAAGGACCTTCCGGTTACAAGGCAAGCCCGTAGACCACTCAGCTACCAGAATCCGCTCAATCAATCAGTTACTAAAACTTACAACAAATAAATCAACGATTGTGTGCTCACGTTAAGATAATTTCCTACATGTTTACGATTTCTTCGGATTTTATAATAGACTCACAAACCACAGCAAGCAATGACCGGAAAGTATCTCATAAAACCAAGGAAGTTGTTGTTCTCTATCAGTTCCTTTATGAACATTATTTTCCACCACGAAAATGTGTTTTACGGTTATTACTTTTGGGTTTAAGCTCTTAAATATCTTACCAGAAAATAAGTTGTTTATTAGACGTCATATCCACTAGTTTTGGCAGTCAGTTAATCACATTACCACTTGACCGATCTACACAGTGACGATACAGTCATGCAAACTACATTTTATTCAAGTATTGGTTTTGTAGGGATTGTGTTTGATTGGTTGGAAGAATTCATCATGAGCTGACATCAGTTAGAGAACCATTGATAAATCTGGCAGTCCCCGGACAGCTGTTTCCCCCCTTTTAGTTTGAGACCCTCCAGCAGTAGGCACCCACCGGGGTTCGAACCCAGGAATTTCCGGTCGCAAAACGAGCTCGTTGGTAATTAAGCCACTGGTACCCGATCCAATGGCCAGCATATTAATCCTAACTTCTGCCAATTCATGACATAGCGTGACCACTATGCAGTGTCTTCTTCGATAAGTTACTGCTTAGCCTTCAGGAACTTTTCAGTAAGATTCTGTTATAAAAGAAAAGCACATTTATGTTCTAATTATTGAGTGTCAAACATTTAAAGTGCTTCAGTGGTTGAATGGCAGAACATTCGCCAACCAAGCACATTGTCCAAGTTCGATTACCTGCTGACGCATTGCTAAACTTTATCTACTACTCCGTAGGGAGTAAACACAGCAAAGAGGGAAGTTTAAGTGTGAGGTTACCCATCCTCCCCTCGCCCCCCCCCCCGGAAATTGTGTAAAATGAATCCCACGGATACTGAAGCTTCAGAGCTCAACTCTTGAAGCCCTATGTTTCACTCGGGAGGCAGAGGAATGAGAATTATCACTGGTAGGTATTAGAAATATCCAGACCACTGATACTGCGAATTCCTTGAAATATCTTTAATGGAGATTCAGATTGATTCATTATAAAATTAATTAAAACAATCCCACTGTGTTTAGAGAATCAAAACAAGATATTTCAGAAAAATGCTTGATCACTGTTACATGAATTTCATAGACACACTGGGATTATGTTAAGTAATTTTATAATGATTTGAACGTATTAATGGTAGAAAGCTGAGTGATATCTTCAAACAAGAATTCGTTAACAATCAACTTCAAACAAACTCTTTTTTATAACATCCTAATTGGTTAGAAAATTGTTAAGAGTAGTCAAGTAGGATTTGCTCTGTTCTTATTGGATAAAAGGGTTCTTTTTTAAAAAGCCATTTTATTGATCCTTTGGTTAGCAATGTAAAAATTATAAAGCAATATCTAACTAACTGTAAAGCTCGCGGGAAATTCGCTAATTTTTGTCTGATTTAAAAAAATAACAGAATATATACCTCTTGAATTGTAACAATCAAATAGAAATTATGGAATTAAGAGTAGAATTCACAAAAAAATGAAATACATACATGTTATGTATTAATTAATACAATAAAACGCAGCATGCTCTCTTCAATGTTTCAATTCGTATGGCCATTTAACAGTGAACCAATCAGATTACAGAGAAATGAAAACGATTAAACCACACACAAAAATGAAATTTACTATTCCAATTGATTATTATTATTAATTAAATATATTTGGAACATACTATTACTATTATTATTTATTGTTTTCACTAGTATTATTGACAGACTGGTGATTTTTATCACTAGTTTCTTAATGTTTATAAAACCTATTCATGTGAAATATTTTAAACTGGAATTATATACATATGCCTGAAACAAGTGGAATAATTTAATTGTGGAATATATATAATTTTATTTGAATTATTTATACTGAACCGGATTTTATTTACAAATTCGACCAGTGGACTAACGAAACACAATTACTGCACAGAATTTAACTCCTTAATAACTGGTGGCAAATAATGGAGGAAGTGAATAGTTCTCAGATTGATGACAATAACCCAACAGATCCTGAGAAGAATTTGTCAGCATCATCAAGAAAGTCTAGCATAGAGATAGTGACTGAGGGGACCTTCGAAGTGAGTGCTGATAGTGTGGTGGGCAAAGAAGAAACCAGCCTAGATGTTCAGGGTAGCGTGAATGCTTCTCACGAGAATCTGTACACATCTGTGATAATTCAAAAGGAATTAGACACTTCTGATCAGCTCAGTGACGAAAGCGCTAATAAAATATCTTCAGAAACGCCTACTGAAAGAGTGATTACTCTTGAACATGAAAGAATAGCTCAGTTTTCAAACAACAGTGACAACTTTGTTGAACAAGGCGATCCTGAAGGTGTCCATAGAAGCATATATCTTACTTCATCTAATAATGAAAGCGCAGATACCTTAGATAACGAAGGGTCTTCAATAGATATGAGACGAAAGAGTTCTAGAATCACGATCGAATATGATGTGCCGGAAAGTGAAGCAAAGCCGGAACATAGTATTGAAATAGTTCGCAGTTATGATACAGACTTAAATGTAGACCAGGAATACGACATAACACCTGAACACGAAAGTGCATCTACTATTTCAGCGACACACACCCCTAGTGAAACTGTACCTCCTGAGACAGGAGAACACTTAACTGCTGAGGTGACTGTACCTCCTGAAACAGGAGAACACTTAACTGGTGAGGTGCAGTTTCTCTCTCAACGGGAGTACACTCAAGATAGTCAAAACAGTCTCCGATCAGATAGTCCTGGCTCTTCAGAGAAACATTCTGTCGAAGCTGATATGGGCGAGACAATAGAAAAAACTGATGAAACACTCAAGGAGTTCGAAGGACTTAAGATAAGCAACTCAGAAATGAAAATGAATGATTCATCTGACGACTTAGTTGAGCATGAAGAAATTAAACATAATGACGGGGAAATACAAGCACAAGCACCCGAGTATTCTGTACCTCAGGAAGATGAAAATCACTACGAAACAAACGATTTTTCTCCTAATAACGATAAAAGTGGCTTCTTGCCTCGTACAAGTTCCCAAGATGTCGAACAATTTGTTAGCCAACATGACTATTTAGTGGACAGTAGTAATGATATAAGATTAGACAGTACATCATCTGAAAAAGTTACCGAAGTGGAAGGAACAAATGTTGAGGATCCATTTATTCCCACAGATACATCATATACAGCTGAAGCTGAAAATACGGTGGAGTATGAAGAAGCACAGTATGGAGATCAACATGAGGAATCACATGCACTGAATGAGTCAGAACCCATATCTATTGAAGAATCAGTAATCTGCATGGAAGGGAATGAATCTCCTTCAGTTGAGACACATCTCACTGAAATGCAGGAAACACCTAACCGCAGTCAAGACATAGAAGAAGAACTTACGAATGCCATCTCTTCAGAAGTATGTCATGAGAAGATAAGAGAAAACGAGCAGAGTTCTAACGTAGTTGAAGATGAAAATATCATTTCGTCAGTGGAGAGTATTCATCATATTAATGAGCACAGTGCAGATGACATCTGTTTACCTACATTAGCCAATGAAAATAATGCTCCAGAGATGCTGATACAAAATTCAGAAGAACAACTAAGCCATTCTAGAGATGATGTTGCGTGTATACAAGAGGCAGTGATACCAACAACTACTGACACTGATTTCATTTATAACAAAGAATCCGAAGAACAAATCATTCCAACCGGCATACAACAGCAGTCGACACAGGAAGTATTCGAGGAAAATATTCACGACAACAGTGCAGTATTACTTGCATCTGACCATTACGTAAATGATCAGTTACTGACAACTGAGCTTCTTGAAGACAGTCCGGAATCCTTTAAACTAACTGCACATATTCAGAATAAGGAAGAATATTACAATCAGTTACCTGAAGAATTTTTAACAGATGAAAATAATGAACAGCAATATGAATCTATCAATGAAAGTGTCCAAGAAAAAGTTTTATTGAATACAACTGTCGAACCAAATTATGCAGTGGTAAATGGTGACTATGACAGCAAAACTCCTATTAGTACTGAGGAGTCTTTTAATAAATTGGAGGCAACTACACCATTGAATGGATCAGAAGTAAAAGCGAAAATTTCAAAACAAACTACTGATGTCGATGAAATCAGTTTAAATTCAGAAGGGGATCAGAGAACAGAATTTGAACAGCGTTATGCTGAACTTATTGCTAAATATTTACCGTTTGACAGGCAAATGAAATTAGATAGTCGATCGAGACGAACTAAAACACTAGACAGGTTCAATAAATCTAAAATCAATGTAAACAGATACTCGTATATAGATACAACGAGAGATGATAAGAAAAGAGCTGTTACCCTGGAGCGAAATGAATTTAAACGTAAACGGCGTCCACAACCAAAACCGTCAGTGAATGATGATTATTTGTATCCTGACTCTGTAACACCATCTAAGGTGGATCAGAGTATAAGTGTTCGAAGTTTAGAAGAAGGTATGCCTGAAGGCACTTATGACGTCCCGTATATTGATGACGATGCTTTCTTACCTAGAAAACTACGTGAAAATAAAGATGAAGTGGATGGATCAGATGATGGTAGTAGTCTAAGCCTAGAAGATGATTATTGGTCATGGAATCCAAATAGACTTAGTACACTGGAAGCTAATCATATTGCAGACACAAATGAATGTGCGCCTACACCTGGTAAGTCTTCAATCTTAAGTATTACTTTTGTTGAAATCAATCTTTTTTCCATTTATCTATCAAAATCTGTAAAGTTTGTCTTCAGCAAGAAGACTGCTGGGCTCTGATACTTAGGATTAACTCAAGCCACATTAAATACAGTCAGCGTAATGTTCATTCAAGTATACAGTCATAAGTTGTGTGGCAGGTTTCTGTCGCCAACAAGTTTTCTAATCCAGGATATTCTGCATTTATGTGAATCTCAGAGTTTTCAGAATTTTTTACATTTCATTAGGAATTCATGTCAAATGCTTTTTCATTTAAGTAGTTGAAAAAGGTAAGAAGGATATCTAGATGGTGTCACTAGTCTATTTGTCAAGTCACACGAAATAGGTCACAATTGCTTAACAGTCTCATTTATATTACAAGAGTAAGCACCGTTTGGCTTCCCTTCTTCCCCTCAATTTGTGATTTTACCACTAACGCCTGGCTCACCGATTTGGTAATGAACTGGAGAAAAGATAACGATTCATATGTGTTGAATAACTTAAAAGTGAGTTTTTAAGAGGCTAAATCCAGCACTAGAAATATGACTCATGCTTGCTTTATTACACTAGTCACTCATAAAATCCATCTGATATCAATGTTTGAATGGTAGATGTAAAAGTTTCATTAGCATTATTCGAAAACCTAATAAGTGTTCACGATCAGATTTCCATTCCTCTTAGTTTGTCAATTTTCTGTATTTCAGCATTTATGTATCATATTCCCTTAACAAAACAGCCGATAAATTCTATTTATAGTTGAATCTAAGACAGAATAACGTCGTTTTTCAAATTCTACTTTCTACATACTTTGGAATCATTATTAGTTTGACAACTGGCTAGAAGTCTATCTCAAAGTAGAGGTCACCACATAAAGGAACAAAAATTAGAGAATCACTGAAAATTGATGAGTATTGGACAGCTGTTTCGTCCTAATCTGACAATCTTCATCAGTGCTCATCTTAAACTCAAAATAGGGTCGAATTCAGCACCACTAGACCGGGAGGCCAGCTCATCGACTAATCAGATGAAGAGTCCCAAACTAGGACGAAACAGCTGTCCAATACTCTCAGGTTTTCCAATGGTTCTCTAACTAATGTCAGCTCATAATGAAAATCCTCTAATCAGCCAATGAGTTTGATTCTAATGACCTATAGTTCTTCATTTCTGCCAATTCACGACATAGCGCCACAAGACTCATAATCTCAAAATAACCGATTTATTTCTATTAAAAATATTTTTGAGCGTCTAAAAATTTATTTTAAAAGGACGCCAATAGATAAGATAAGAACTAGATTTTCTGTGATTATAGCTGAGTAAAACAGAAAGTCTATAAAAGTTGTACTCACGCAGTGATAATTGGTGCCTGACTCATTTTTTAATTTTAATTTCACCTGTTTTTGATGTTCTGTCATTTGAAAGGCAAGTTTTCACAGTATCCTTTCTACTAAAAAGAAATTAAAATCAAGTCGTGTTTTTTTCATAAAGTTGGTAGCCTGGTGTGTTTCATTACTACTATTATTATGTATTTAGTCATATGATTTAGTAATATAAACACACAGTTGGTCACATTATGATTGACTTAGTAGTTATTTTAGAGAATGCAGTAACATTTCTTTTTTCGTGGTGTACATACACTGTTAAATAACAAAATCTCCAGCTTTCAATATTTTCGTCTGTTGTAAAATTTAATATCGTCGAATAGGACAAGCATTTTTATGTTTCGGTTAAAATAATGAACTGTGAAATAAATGCATGAAATATTTCGCCTTAACAGAGGCTGTTGTTTTTTGGAGACTTGTAGAATTATTTGATTTGTAATCGGTCTAGATGTCCAAAAAACAAGGTAAAAAGGAATAGTTTATCTGTAACTGAGTTATTTAAATCATGGAAGCAAAACCATAATAGTTGACCAGATGCGGTAACCATTTGTTTTAGATTTCTTTTTTAGAACGTGGCTGCCTTTCACACTATTCAAAAATCCAATTATGTGGAAATTCTTTTAGTTTTCTTAGAGTACACAGATAAACTGGATAGGTAAAACTTGATTAGCTAAAAAGCTTGAAGAACATAACATTAGTCGCACCTCAGAAATACATTAAGTTACCACTTATTCGAGACAACACATTAGAAAGGTTTCTAATAGGGTGTAGTAATTTGTTGAAGTGGTTTCCAGTTTTTCTAGATTGATATAACGTCTTTCGTACTGGTAAATACATTTTAACAGGACATGGCAATAAGCGTAAAATAAGGACCTACTAACAACTAATTTTATCCAGATACATCAGTATGAATATTGACTAGCAAGAAACCGTGAAAGTAGAGTAACCATAAGCATTACTCATGTAGTCGTGACCAGTAGGGTGCAGCAGGTCGGGTGTGAGGACAAATACTCGCCGAAGACATTGGCTAGGGGTCGCGCTATGTCGTGAATTGGCGGAAGTTAGAATTCATGGGTCATTGGATTGGGTCCCAGTGGGTTAATGGTATACGAGCTCACCTTGTAACCAGAAGGTCCTGGGTTCGAACCCCGGTGGATGCGTACTGTTGAAGAGTCCCAAACTGGGACGAAACAGCTGTCCAGTACTCCCAGGTTTTCCAATGGTTCTCCAACCAATGTCAGCTCATGATGAAAATCCTGTAACCAATCAGTCAAATCCCTACAAACCAATACTTGAATAAAAATGTAATAGTTGCCCAAGATGTGTATACTTCCTAAGACAAAAGTAATAATAATTGGACAGAAATGCATAACTAATTTCTTACAGCGATACTTAATCTGTGTTTTTTCACACTGAGAATTAGACTGCACAAATTGGTATGGTCAAGGGGATAACTCTTTTGATCCACCAGAGTAGATCGTTTTCTAGTGAGACTGTATACAGCTCTGATCATGAAAAAGGTTAGATTGAGTATTCAGTTCTCTTGATAAGCAGTGTATAATTACTGAATTAGTGGATATATCGTTATGGGAATTCATGTGTCAGTGGTCTAACGGTAGAAAGTGTGGCAGCCACGTGTAAGTCCGGGTTCGATTCCCGTTCGACACACTCCCAAATCTCACCTAGTTTACTCGCGATTAATATTTTCGGGAATGAAGGAAGGCCAGGCATGACGTTAGCAACCACCCTCCACCTGGAGATACAACACCGCTAATGATATTTTAAATCGGAAAGCCCTGCGTTCCACATGGAACCCAGAGGAATTTAAAAAATGCAATCTAAAACAAGGTTAGATCTAATCCTATTGCTTCTAACTTCTAATGAGAGGAATCCTTGTACTTTAAATCTCGACCTCTTTTCGTTAATTTTCTTTTTGAAACTACCTAAATAATACGGACACTGATTTAGTCGATAATTCCTTTAGACTTTTACAAGCTTTACTTGAATGGCTTCTAAGGATTTGAAGTTATGTTCTCACACACGATATTCATTAACACATATCTCTATCATAGTTTTAAATTAGTTAGGAAAGTTCCGCTCTCATTGTAGAACTGAGAGATCCCTTAACAATAATGCTTTCCTTGGAAGGCTTGTTTCATACTACAACATGCATACATGCAATAACACAAAAAATATTGATTATCACAAGTTGACACTAAACTTCGGACCCCTTTAATGGTGCTGCTGCAAGACTGAGTATATGGCAACACATTTCTCTCTAACGCTTCCACTGATATTATATGATTGGAGGCAATCTGTAGGAAGCATAGCCCAACCTAGGTTTCGTGCTGGTTAGCACTCGGCATCAAGGCATATCTGCAGCCTTGAAGGAACTAATGTCCCTTCTGAGATTCGAACCTAGGTCACCTAGTGATGCAGTCGGAGATGTTACCACTGAGCTTTTCAGGCTCGCAATTTCCCTCCTATATAACAATATAAGATATTTTAGATTGAACACAAAGTAGTAAGTAATTAGCCAGGCTGACTAATAGATGTTACTGGCCAGTAGATACCACTAACACCACTAAAAACGATAAAAGTGACACAAACTGCTTAACCAGTGAAAATTATTTTTCTGATGTTTATCTTACAGATAATTAGGGGATTATCCGCATTTTACAAAAACTAGCTAATAGACAGCTGTATGTTGCATTTTAAAAAGAAAGATTCATCCACCTTTGTAGTCATGTCCAAAATTACATTCTACCATCTGTAGTCAACCTTTGTTTAAAATAATTATACACTTGGTGAATCAATAATAATTTGAATTTACCTGTTGTCCTTGCACAAACTGGATTTTTAATTTTTCACATTATATGAGTTTTTAAGGATTTCGATCACAAACCGACACTATTTGGAGAACCACTGAAAAGAAAGGTGCTCTGCTTTACTTTTTATGAACTCTGATCAAGATTTGACATGGCACTAAAACAGCTATTTTGTTCTAGCTTAATATGCTTTACACACACGTCTTCAAGTGGGTGCTACATTGCAAGTTTATAGGAAGTAGAACCAAATAATTTAATAGCTGATGCACTCATCTCGTAGCTTGAAGGTCCTACGTTCGATGTCTTGTTGACTCGTAATGTGTACAGCCGGATAGCGACAAACGGGGAGGAAACAGCTGATTGGTGCCACTCGATTCCCTCACTATCCTCTAACTCATGCCAGTTTGCGGAGTTTTTGGCAGTTTAAAACAACCAGAAGACTATTCTAACTGTTCTATTTGAATTTTATTTGAAAAATGACCATCGGTAACTTTCCTGAGTTCAGTTTGTTTGTTAAACACCGTGCTTCTCTAAGATGACTCGTTAACCTCACGTGTATACATGTCACAGATTAAAATTTGTAGAGTCTATAATGAAGACTGAGACTTCTTCTGTTGAGACTCGTCAAAATCTTAAGTATGTTGAATATATGGAATTAGCGAAAGAAATCTCTTGGCATACGCCTTAGGCTTGCTGATACTCATTCCGATGACAGTTTTGAAGCATTAGAATCTAATGTAGCTATCTTGTCTTAATATTGTTTGGTC